GAATGGCTTAGACACGTGGCCATGGGTTCCGAGCACTCACCAAGCAGAGCTCGCTACATGTGCGCTGAGCCCACCGCACAAGTACTGCCGTGGCTGTTCATCGCATCACTACACTTCCGTCCGGCCTGTTTACCAGGCAAGATTGCGAAGGGTTCAGTATGCTGTGTAACGTTACCACACGGTCGTTCGGGACTCTCTGGTCAGCTGCCAGCTGACCTTACCACGCTATGTCAGGCCTTACGACGGGCCCTCTTTGGGCCTGGTCCTCACTCCCGCTGGATAACAAGTCCAACATCTTTACACTAGTCCACAAAGACGGCTTGTGCGCCAGCGCTCACCAGGCCGCCAGGGTGCGCTCGCGGCAACGGCTGAAGTTCATGACCGTAGCACAGAATATTCTACAACAAAAGCGCAACCAGATCACACAGCCGACTTCTCGCGCTTTTGAGTCTGCTGTTCAGCTAAGCAGTTGGCTGATGTCGCAGTTCGATGACAAGTGTATTTCATGGGCGCGCATGACTGCGCGAGACAGAAGTTTCTTCCCACCTGTCTGCGTGCCTGCGCCTGATGCATACGGTGTCAAAGTGGCTGTCGGGTACGCTTTATGATTATACAGCTAGCGATGGGCTTGAATTTCCAGCCTGGATTATTACGGCGCTTGCAGTGGGGTCCAGTTCACTGCCTCCAGAGACCTCCACCCTGATTGCCTTTTCGGTAGATCTCATCGCGGGTAATAACAGGAGCTACCTGATAGTGGTCATAAATTCCGAACGACCCCGGGTGTCTTTTACAGGGGCATTATTCGCTCGGTGGACGGGGATGGCTTGCCAGACAGGCCAGAAGAGGCCCGAGCCTTACCATCTGCCACCCCTTTGGAGGGAGGGTAAGGGCACCTGACCAGCATTGGTCGCAACGCTTTTTGACCTGGCATTGTCCACCGCACGTGAGCGCAGAGGCGCCCCTTTTGAATGGCGCCGCGCCTTCCGACTACTGGGCGCCAGGGACCGTCTCGGTCGGCCCACTGTGCTGGCAGACGGCCCTACTCGTTCGGAGCCCCAACATTGGTAGTTGTGAGGGAGGGGGAAACGTGGGCCAGACAGCATTACTGACCGGTCGGCACGAGGGTAGTGAGCGATCGGTGGGCGTAATGGACAGACGGCTAGGGAGCAGAGTAGTGAGGCGCGAAATAGTCGGCCGAAGAAAGACAACGCGAAAACGCCGGAACACAAGTGTTGCGTTCAATTTGTTCACGTGCGGCTCTGGAAAGTGTCGTTTTAAGGTTTTAAGAGAACAAGACATGCTACGCGCGTTGCACGTTTATTTTAGGACCATGGTGTTTTGAGGCCATGACCATTTCAGGGACACTGACTGCAGGCAGTGTCACCGTGTGTCACCCCTCGTGACAATTGGCTGACCGCCGCCCCTCTCAGATCAGACCGAGAAGGGTGTGGAGGGGGGGGGGGGGGCGGAGGGAAGCTAACGGACCGTGCCACCCCGGGTGTCTCCTTCCATCCGGCAGCCGAAAGCGAAGGTCGCACGTGATGGACTCGCCGAGGGAGGGATGAAGGGGTGCTGGGTCCGGCGAGGCAGCGTCTCCAGGGGTGCAGCGCTGCGCGGGACTCTGGCCGCACGACCTCGGCCGTCAGCTGCGGGGCACAGCAGCGCGCGGTCGGCGTCAAGACAGGCAGCTTCAGAGGAGGGACGCGGCTGCACATGCAGTCAGCGTATTGATTACTAGTTTCCGTGGTGAGAGTACCAAACCGAGGTAGGTGGGAAATTACTGGTTGAAAGAAGATGTAATGCGCTTCGTATTTTGTTTTGACCAGTTTTGACGCCTTCTCTGGGGTAGAGAAATGGTAGAGGCTGCAGCCCGAAAGATAGTGTATGTGTATGCTTATGCTTCTGCACTCTTGTTCCAACGCGCCATAATGGTGTAGAAACATCGCACCATAGTGAAGCCGGACCGAAGGAAAATTGGTTTACGTGGAAAATTCTCTCCTGATAGCCCGTCGCTATTTAATTCCCGGCCATTTCTTACAACGTAATTTGAGACCATCTAAATACCACGAGTGCAGAGCAGGCTGGAGAGTATGCATCACATCCCACACACGCCTTTGAACGATCACGGCGGAAGCGGCGAATTCTTCGCCACGGAACAGCAGAAAACATCCTCGGATGTTTGGCTTTGTAAGCAGAATACCCAACATGATAATACTGTCCTTTCCATATTGTTTCCATGCCGGTGAGGGCACTGTAAGGTGAAGCGCGTCATTTTTATTTTTCTTCCTGTTTTTTGTTTCTGAGTACGACTGGGCGTCGCGGGAGCGTTGCACGGGTGGGGGAGGGGGGGAGGGGGGCAGAGCGCTAGGTACGGTAGCATACGATGTTGTGTTCCGAACAGCCAGCGTGCACACAACCTGTTGCGCCGTCAAGAGTGAGTTAATGCAACCAAATATGCAATGCTTAGGCGGCGCGGGCTGTTGAAAACCTTGGAAGCGAATTACGAGGTTTTGAAATTAGACATGGCAACGGACTCATGGATGGTGGCACGTTGCATGACTTAGTCCCGGCTCGGCAGCAATAAATCTCCACCGCCATGGAGCGTATAATTAGGGCCCGCGTAATGGCAACATTACCGTCGTATGTCTGAAGCCGGAATGCCTGTGTGGGCTTGCATCTTGTATTACATGCGACGTGGAAATGATGACTTCACGTCTCCGAAGCTCAAACTCGGCGAGGCCGAAGTAAGGAGCTCCGTCTCCCAGGCCCTTTCTCGAAGCCCGAGCTCGCTATGGGCCCAATCTTGGAAGGCCATGGCGTGCTGTTTGTTTGTAGCCCTGCCGAAGCCCGCCATGCTCCGACTGCACACATTACCCCTGACGGTGTTTGTTTTGAGTCCGGCGAGGCCCATTCGAGTTCGACAACAGCACTGCGGCAGGGCCGAAGCGCTACGTACGACTGCTGGGCACGCGACGACCGGCCGGCCAGCGTCCTGTCGGCCTCAATGTGCGCCCGTCGACAGGGGCGGATCCAGCGTCCAATATAAGGGGCGTGAATGTCAGGCGAGTGATACGAAAACCAAGCCTACAGGACTTTCTCTTTCATCGTCCCTGGAGGGGAGGGGGATGGCCCCGTTTGCCACGATGACTTTGCCAGACCCCGGCAGCAGTCAGCGGGCATAGGAGCACTCCCGTACGACCGCCGCTCATTGACACTCGGCATCTAGACGAAACGAATATGTAGTCCAGGCTCCCGGAATTTGAAACCCAGGAGCACGAGCGCTAGGGTCTCGAAATCACCGTGTCATGCCGTTTAAATTCCAAGCCTCGGTTTGTGAGCAATGCGTCGCTGCTTAAGAACCTCTTGAGACCATATCACGCTTGCATATTTGCTTCGTATGAACGCTACGTCACTACGAGGTAACGTCCTGAAATAAACACTGCTATTTATAAATGCGGGATTCTTAGCACAACCGTAATCATCTACTGCTTTTTATCGCATCTGTTTCAGACGGGCCTTGAAATATTATCCCTGTTCGCACTGTTTTTAATGCGCGTTTTTCTCTGTCTTCCCTCTCTGCGATTGATCAAATAACCGGCAGTTGTAATAAAGGCGGCCAAGGAATTCTAGACGCCTTTTGTATGCGGACTGTTCTGAGGCGTCGAGCAATGTAAGACACGAAACCAGTAAACGTAACACGACAGGTAAGGCGATCCCGAGTTTAGCTGCATTTGCTATCTTGCACGCGATTTCATCGCAATCATGCAAATATGAAATGCGAGCTGTGAGCTGTAAGGAAGCGTCTGCCTTCCATCATTAGGCATTCTCCGAAAAGCAGAACTAACGTGTAAATGCACGCGAAGACCCGATGGCAGTAACAAAAGAACCATCGAAATTTAATCATTTTCGAAACTGTTAGTGGAATAAAAACATGTACACGTTCTCGACATGTGTCAAAATGTATCTAAAGCCTGTAATTCGTGCGGCGTTTCGAACGGTCCTGCGTGCGTATTATGCTGCGTGTGTGTGTGTGTGACACAAACAGCCTAACCTCCTGTCAACGAACTGATTCGATGATTACTTTCCGCTGCTGACGTCACATAAAAACATCCATTCTATTTCTATTCCCGATCCTTTTGTGAGCCGTTAATCACTCTTGAAGAGTTAGCTCTACTCGATAGTCTGCAATTTGCTCTGACGTGCTAGACTTACATATTCAGCCTGAAGTGCTGAAAAGTTCCATTTACCGAGCTCTCTGGCCACGATAACGGGCTTCCCCGCAATCGCCAGAGGAATGACCGGTTCTGAAAATGTCGGTCACTACACCATCGCGGTTACAGGCGATGACTAGCGAAAATCGGCGCTCACCATCGGTAGCATCACAACCACTGAAATTCCTCACTGATGTGATTTGATCCGTTAAGAGGTGTTAGGTCCTGTGATGTAAGGCGAGGTGAAGCGTTCCGTTCATCATTCCACTTAAAGCACAACAGCATTGCTGTGATATTTCCTTTCAAGAATCTGCCACGTTTACCACCAACGAGAACCACGTCTGCTTGCTTTTTGAAGATGTTGGTGTTATGTCAACCTTCGTTTTTATGATGAAACATCGACAGCGCGGGAGCGGGAGCCATTGCACGCCATAGTGTAATGATCTCTCGCGAATGCATGCAGCTCGTGGAGTTCAGAAGGTCTTAGTAGGCGAATTGTTCGTAACCAAATTAAGAACAGTGAGAATCGGTTGTTTGAATTACGGAGGCAGCCAGTTGCATAGATATGTGGGAATCGTCGAGTACTTATGATGGTCTGGGCACGGAAAAGCTTGCGATGAAAACCGAGATGTGCGCGCAAATTTCATATACGATTTCATTATTGCAACCAATGCGTTCATCCCCGCTTTGTAAGGAGCTAGTCTCATGCTGACCAGTTGCTACCGCCACAAGCCTGTCCGGTGCCAGATCCGTGCTGAGCAGAGCCTCCTGACGCGCACCGTTACTCACCACTTCGCGTCCGGATGCGTGATCATCGTCAATGCTCCTCTCATGCATGGCCACCCGCTGCCGACGCGCGGGGAGGGGCTCTCCGCGCTCCTGGATGCCGCCCCGTCGACTCTGGGCTCTCGTGCGAGCTCGAGGTTTGTCACGTGGGCGCCTCGCCCCCGCTGAAGTCCGCGCACGCCACCAGCAGCATCACCGCTTCAGCCCCGCACCGTCCGCGTCCGGGCACATGGCATCACCGCCCGGGCCTCGCGCGTACCAGGACATAATCTGAG